AAACGACGATCATTTTTCTAATTTCATAGATAACAGAAGACTGTATTTTTTCTACATAACCCCCCCTGACTTTAAAGCTGGATCCGAACCTGGCAAAGTTCTGCTGATTTTGTTGAACTTTTTAGATTGACTTGCTGAAGATACTCACAATTTCCTTACAAATTTTAGTTGAAGATATTTTTTAAAATGCCGATTAGTGGAACAGTTACAATTCCAGCGTCTTATTGAGATGGTTTTTCGTCGATAAATCTTGAAAAAAATGCGTTTTTAGTGGTTAAATTGGCAAAACTAGTTAGTTATTACCTAAGCATTTTCATCACGCTTTCAGCCATAGTTTTAGAGCAGTGATTACCTCTAAAACCGATTTTATAAATTACTCCCAACTTGGTTGATTATTTAATAATCTGTTAAATTTTTTTAAGGTTTTGTCCTATTTTGCCTGTATTAAAAATTAAGCGAAAATCGTTGTGATTTTGCTTGATTTTAATGGAATTTCAATGACTTGTAAACCTTAAAGGAATCTGGGAAATGACCTATCAAATCCTCGATCGGAAGCGACTCAAAAGAGATCTTTCAGCCCTATTAAATACGGTTTTGGGTCTAATCCGCAAAAGGAGCTACTGTGTGAAGTGGCAAAAGCCTCTTGACAAGTAAAGATTAAGAGAGATTCAGGTAGGATTCGATCTAGGCATGTTCAATTGCACAAAAGCTCTAAAAAATTAAAAGATAACATTTCGGGTGGTTTTGGTACTTTTTACAGCTGGACCGTCGCTTCAGCCGTCATCCCTTCAATCATTGCTCGAACAAAGCAAGGATAACGATCCTAATTGGGCTGTTACACCGAATAAACCCTAATTACACATGAAAAATCTGTTAATGTTCGTGATTTATCGTGTAGCGATCCCGTTACATCCGTCCTATAATTAAATCCTTCGGGAACGGCAATCATTTCAATTATCCAGGACACCCCGCGCTCCTGCAGGATACGCCCTTAGTTGGTTGGGATGCGTTGCCTTAGTAACGCACAGGTGCAGGATAACAGGAATCTCGTAAAGCAAGAGCCGGAGGCTCAAAAGTTTAACTGGCTGATGATAGTTTGAGTAAACTGGAGTCTATTTTATGGGTATTATTTTTGCCGCTTTCTACGGCTTTTTTTCGGAAAAATGTTATTTCTTGTCTTAAAATACATTTGGGAAATAGTCTTGGGGCACTAGACAGTCTTGTCCACAGCCTGGGCAGTGGTAAGAAACTAGATAAAAAAAGCAACCAAGCTTTCGACCATTTTTTATTTTTGATTTCTTGATGGCTACAATGAATCTATGGAGTTAAAGGTCATAAATCATCTTTTTAATTTCCTTGTATGAGATGTGACGTCATGAAAATGTTATATTATCTCGAAGTTTTTAACTCCATAGGCTCATAAAAACTATTGTAGCCGTGAAGGAGACAAACAACAAAATTGTCGAAAGCTTGGTAGCTGAAAAGTTTGTTTCTTACCACTGCCCAGACTGTATCCCCAATAATCTGCCCATTTATTTGATTTATTTGCCTTTTATCTATATTCAGTTAAAAAATCATTACCTTAAAATACATTTGTCACTTCGTTGGCTAAGGTTTTAATTTTTGTGGGTTGAAATCTTCCAAAAAACATTTAACCCCTACTTTGGACGTAAATACGTATCCAAACGCTTAAAATTTACGTGTTGAATTTGCCGTAAATTTTATTTTTACTCAATGTCGCAAACTCAAAATATCAACTTGGGGGCAGTGTTTGAAAAGGAAAACGAGTTAAAAAAAAACGTCTAATTCTACGAATTTCCTGGAATTTTCGAACATTTGCCTACTCAATCGCGATTAAATTTGCTGAAAAAATTATAAAAATTAATCAGTTGGACAAAATCAATAGGGTTCGTCAATCTTTGGAAGGTTTTCACGGTACAACTCAAGTAGACGTTGAAAAATAAATAACACTTTGATAAAATAAAAGACTATTTGATGAAAATCGGTTTGGGAATAGTTTGGTGAAGCGTTCATATAAATATGTTCTGGTCACTTTTACTAGAACTTCCCCTATTATTGTTTTTTAGAAAACAATTTCAAGAGGGCACTGGAAGCTTTGACATTGGCAGGCCCAATCAATGGACCGAAACTATGCAGTTGTCAAAAAGACAACGGTTTTTTTACATTTTCAATGGCATGGTTTTGGGGGAAGTTCGTTTAAAACCGACCATTCCTTTTCGTTTTTTGCAAGTTTAGGCATATTTTGACATTTGATCACCAGCCAATTAAAAATCCCTTTTCAGTCGCATCTGTAGGTAGTGTGGGTTGTTGCGCGTTTTTTTGTGATACTGCCCCTTTCGAAATGGAGTAACCAAAAAAAAAACACAAAAAATTTCCGGTCTGTTCTCATAAATCAAATTCGAAACTATTTTAATAATCGTTCACAAGACGCAAAAATCGTTAAAATAAATGCCTTTTTTCCGCCTGGCTAAATCCCGGTATAGCTCTTTTAATTAGATGGCTATAAATTTCGGTTATTTATGGCCTTTAAAGGCGAAGGTTAATGTGGGCAGTCACCTATGTGAACCTGCCATTGATCCTACACATGTAAAACTACCATCATCCCCTTGATGGTGATTTTTTTCAGCAAGTTAACGAACGTATGAGATTCTTCAGGCATTTTGCAGCTTGTTTGCTTGCACGTAATATCCACTCAACTCAACTGTTGCCGTCGTGTTATTGTTATTTTTAATGCCGTAATCGTGTTATCAGCACATTTAATTCGAGACTTTCGACGTAATACTAGATTTTCCAAGAGCGCCAGGCGCATCAAAACCTACAATCAGCGCTTCCCACGGTCTAGAAAATTCACTTTGTGTACGAAGTTGTTTTTTTTTGTTGTTGAAAAACAGCATTTTCATTCCGAACAACAACGGCAGGAAGTGGCGTTTTCAAGCCCAATTGCCACACATTTCAATAATCGCATTGGGCAATTGCGTCGAACGCAACAACATCCCTCAGCCCCTAAACGATGGAAATTAATTTAAATTCGCACCTTTTCAAGTGGGGCTCTTTGTCGAACGCCTGTAAAAGACCAACAATCACAGATAGACGAATGGGGCGACAAAAAGATTATTTGCGACATTACGGGGTTTCGAACAATGCGCCGGCTCAGGTTACAACGGGATTACATGGAAACATGGGGATAAAGCATCTGGATTTACAGGGATGGGCTGGAGCCAGCAAACATGTTATTGCATTAGAGGGTTTTTCAAAGTATGCAGTTGCAATTTCTGCTTGATGCTTCTGGGCCTGAATTGTCTGGAAAACCAGGGCACACTGATTGTATTTCTTGTTGTTCAAAGTTTTCATGAAGTCAGTTTTTATTCCATTTTTTCCCGGTCATCGCTTGGAACCGTACCGTAGGTATCTAAGGCTGTTGTGTAAAATAATTTCTTTCTGACGTTGTGGCTTGCATCTTCCCAGGTCTGTTCGCTTCTGGACAAATATTTTTCTGTTTGCCAAGGTTTCCTCAATAAAATTCGTGTCATTCTGTAATCTGGAAATGCACGTTAGACGATAGACGTACTAATCCGAATCAACACGTCCAACAGTTGCGACATCAATAACGCCAGTGACGCATATTAAAGGCCTTTAAGCCCTTGACAATGCACATTATCAACTCCCATCTTTTGATGGACTGTCCCTCTGAGCACCAGATCCGGACTTTACAGAAATCAAATAAAACGAATCAATTTCTTAAAGACTTTTACCCCCTATGTACTTATACATTCGATATGTACCGTATTATATTGTATAATAAGGATCGAACAAAACTAATGTTCTAGGTATGTGGTGTAATTAATTTCTAATACATAACGTTGTTTATTATTCATTAAAATTAGTGTTAAATACTCCCGTAACTAGACTACGTAATTAACTTTTATGGAAGACAGACCATGGCGTATGACAAAAATGTTGCAATTTCATCGAGCTTCCCCTATAATCACAACGTCGAAGCACTTTATATATAAATGTAAGTAAGAAAACGCGTGCTCGTTAATACCATTCATTGCCCATGAAAACTGAATGGGAATATCACATAAATGTCATATTTATACTTAGTTGTTTCCAATACAAATAACTGAGTTAATTAATTATAATATATAGGTATTCATTGACACAATTACAGCCAAGTACCTACAGATTTACAAGAAGTGTTCACTTCACTCCATCCTCAATCCGCATAAATGATTCTTCCGGTATAACCAGATTTCAACCTCGTTAGCTCGAGCTTGTGTAGCTTAAAATAACACTAGAAAGTGCGAAATTTATTGTAAAGTGCCCTTATGCAATGTGAATAAAATTGCGCCCTGAAAAGGCAAATTGATAAAATCAAAAAAGATTTAAAGTTGCATTTATCTCACAAGAGAGTTGAAAAGTTAAAACTTTTTCTAACCTATTATAGAATATTACTTCATAGTCACAAATACTCATTAACTCGTCATTAACGCTTTTTTACTTATTCGCTAAAATACTTTTTTGTTAAAAAAATAGCAACCATTCGTTCTGCAAAAAATATGTTTCAATAAAAGTTGGATTCAGTGGAAGAGAAAAAGTAGCGAAGAAATCGATTGGTCGGCGGAGTTTGAAAAATCAGCAATTGAAGTATCTTACTATTGCTACTAATGGTATTGCTATGCGGAACCTATTGGAACCCATCCCCTATTCCATGGTGTTGTATTGGACGTTCTTCACTTTGAAGTACCGAAAAGCGCCATATCCCGCTATTATAGCCAAGGCTACTATTGCCAGGGTGGAACCCACAGCGATAGGGGTAGTTTCACTTCTATAAAAAAACATTTGCAAACTGTCTGGAAGGTTGGGTGAATGCGCCCTACCTGAATCCTCGAACGTTTTTGCACTGAAAGGATGTGGAGAAGTTTTCGCTCTTGTACATGAAGGCTTGCACTTGAAGCATTCTAAGTAACAGGGTTCCATAGACATCCTTCGGAGGATGATCAGCCGGGTCGGTTTTCAAATTAATGTCCACTTCTTCGCAAAGATACGATTTGCCTACCGGCGTAGGCACAAGCGTGCTTTCGTTGTACAATCGCAAGGTTTTATCTGGGGGAACCAAAAATATCTAGTTTGCAAATCGTTTAGTGAGTTATTCGGGGACTACCTCGCGTTTTTATTCCATGGAACTGAGGAATGTCGACACTGGCAGTCAAGGCCACGTTCTTCAAGAACCAAACCTCGCCCCCGGGGGTCTAAAATCGAAAAAAAAATAGCTAAAAAACTAGAGATTTAATTCCTTACCTTGGCAAAAGCCATTGTAATACTGTAGCCAGGCCAGACAATGGTCATGACGACTGATTCTTCTTGATCGCACTCCCCTACCACCATGGCGTCTTCTGGAATGAACGAATCTGCTTGCGTTTCTATGCCATGCAGCTTGAATTTCACCTAAAGCAGATTTGCGGTGGGGTTCAAAGCAAACTTTAAGCGAGCTCGTTGGTTACCTCCACGACGGCATCAGTCTTCAACAGAATGCAGGTGGTGTCAGTTTTCCGATTGATCACTCTGTATATGGCCACTCCACTGTCTTCTTTCGGCGATTTCGTCGTCACATTGAGGGCGCTTACTTGCGGGGCCACTGTGGCTTTCAGTCGAGGTCTTGTGGTTCCTTTGTTGGCAAGGTCGATCGAATCTACCAGGCTTGATAGTGAAATGCCTGCAAAGGAGGGAAACGACTTTCCTTGAAATGCCCACCTTGTCTAATAAAGCCAACTAAGAGAGCACTGAGGCTGCCTGTTACAAGTAAAAAAAGACCAAGATTGAGTGTGTGTTTTACATAATTTCCAACCGTTTAGAAAGCCATCACTTACATAGGGCGAAAAACTGGAAATAAACACCCACAAAGCGAGCCATTTTTCGGGTCAGAACCGCTCAAGACCACATGGACGTTTAGACTGGACGCTCGCGACGCTCATTTGACGGCGGATATCGGCCATTCTAAGTTCCCACGCAAAACCCTTCGTTCGATATCAATAAGGGGGCGCATGCGGCTCTCTAGGGCCAATGTGGGAGATGGGAGTTTCATTGATGCTGGCTTTTCCAGCCTTGTGGATCAGACGATGTGAATCCAGATTTAGAGCCCAAAGGCCGTTGAGAAAACGCCTGAAAGCCTGTTGCTCATTAATGCGATATTTATTTCCCTCAGCAAATAAGCAGTCGACCCGAAGTGGGATGTCATCAATTTGAGGCTTGAGGGTTTGCTATGTGCGGTGTTACTTAGGGAAGGCCGCCGGTCTTTCTGGCTTTCCGAGCTCGTTTCTTGGGGCATTTAGCCCTTTTGTTCCCAATTTCAGATATCACCTTGACCTGATGCAGTGCGACAACAGGATCACTCTTTATTTATCCTTGCCCTACCAATCAATAGGTATTAGGGATGATTTCCGGTTTTTTCCCTAATAGGATTGCGCGTTATGTGATAAATGAGTATTTGCTTCTGCATGTAAATTCCATTATATGTTGAGCTGGAGTTAATAGCTTTTGTGTGTTTTCTTCACAAGTAAAGCGCGTTAATCGATTTTATAGTGTGTTTTTTAACAATCTTTCGTTACAACTTACAGTTCTGAATCTTTTGGCGAATGCACCAAAGTGTATTTCCTATCGCTTGAAACAGGCTTCATCCAGGCCCTAGCTGCAAGTGACTTGACCGAGTCTAGTGCTTGCAGTTGATTCTAGGGCGCTTCATTGTGTTTAGCCATCGAAAAACTGATGATAAATTGATATAAAATATAATACACACGCAGCCGCCCCCTGCTCCTGTCACCTAGCCAATGACGTAGCTGGTTTGCCCCTAACTAAGACGTACGTTCTAGGGGCGGCATCGCGGGCTGGGGGAAAACGCCGACAAAGGCTGGTCGTGATCGGTCAGACAGCGGTTGGCTTCAGGGCGCGCTTGCCAGACGGCCCTTGATTTCTGTGAATGTTCCGAGTTGGGTGATTTTTTCAAAATTTACCTCAGTTTTATTAGATAGGTTTACTCATTTGAGTTGTACTGATTATACTTGTGTGCGTTAGCAAAGTGGCAGTTTCGACTGGCAAAACGCAACATTGGTAAAACTTAGAGCAAGTACAGCTCGATGTGAAGCTGTTTTAAAATTTAGCTTATAAAATTTGCCTCAACCACCTCCCGGTTGATTATTTCGGTTTTGATGTTTGTTTACTCTGATTTAAATAATGAATTCGCAATGAATGGTTTGACATTTCGGCCACGATTCATCACGCCGACAACGTTGCAAAGTTCTGTTCGCCCAGCCATCTTGTGAGACTCTGAAAGTATGCTTTTTGAGGTGTGTGTTAATTTTTAGGCAAAATTTAGTGAAAAGGGTGATTTTATGGGTGAGTCAATGATATTATGCACATAAGGATGTATTTGGTTTCATGTTTAGTACCTAGTGTGGACGGAAATAGCGAAATCTCGGTCGAAAAGTGTGCTCCTGTCACAGCTTTCACTTGGCCCGTAAATATAGAGAAATATCTAAAATTGTCTAAATTAGCGCAAGAGGAAATTCGAAACTTCGGGCCTTTGCCCCGAATCGCTCCAGTTCAGCTAATCAGTTAAAGGTTTACTATTGATGTTTCCTATCGCTCTTTTCTGTTGGTGCGCTAGAGGTCAACCCTATATCTTTGAAGGAAACCGTTTGTCTTTAGAAATTCATTGCTTTTCATTATTCCACCACTTTGCAAGGGCCTTTCTGTTAACAAAACATCAGTTGGCTCCCTTCCCGTTCCGCCTTTAAAAGCCCCGGATGGCTGCTTTTTTCAAATTAATCTCATCTACCTGTACAGTCTGCACAGGCAGGTATTCCTTGGCAAAAGAGATATCACAAAATGACTCATCGAACGTCGAAGTTTCTTCATATGGCTTTGCCTAAGGACGTTTATTGGTAACCAGAATCGAAACTTGCTACCAGATAATGTGGTCGATATTTATGTTACAGGTGATTTAGTGTAAAGAGGCATTACTTATGTACACTTTGATCGACGTTGATAGATTTTTCCTTCTGTGTTCTGTTTGATTTACTTTTAACAATTGAAAGTGGTTTGTCAACACCCGGCGAGCTTTTTTGTTATTTTAGTTGATCTCATCATCACTTTCTATTTTGCATAAGGGTGCATGAGTGACAAAGATGCAACACACTATAGTGGGGCCATTTGTCACTCAGACAACCTCAAAATTTCACGCTTTAGGGCCTGCCTGTGAAAGTGGTATTATTTTAACTTTTTGTGGTCGGACCCCGCTGTCTGCTGCCTGCGTTGTTGTTTTTAAGAAAGAGCCTGATCAAGTACTAATTCTTAATGCCCTCGGTCGCTTAAACTAAGCTAATTAACAGTTTTTTCTGCGGCTTATAGTTGGAAATCGATAAAATACTGTTGCCTTTTAACGGCCCCTTGTACGTAAAGTGGGGCTTGCTAGCTACTGCATATTAACGTGATATAGCGGCACACCTCGGAACGGTGTGGTCCAAATAATAACAGCCAATTAAAGTGTCATAACGCGATTTCGTCGAACGACATAACAATCAGGAACTCAATTACTTGAAACTCGTAATTGGCAATATGCATAGATAAGCGTTCACCACTTTTCGAAAGGAAGGTCTAATTGACCAGCGATCGCCGATTGTTTCGTTATCAACTAGTCGAGTCGAGCATGTTAAGAACTGGTGGATGCACTTTGCTTATGGAAAACGATTCGTTTCAATAAACAATTGGTGTTTGGTCCTTACGTTTCACTAGCACTCATGGCTACCGTCTTCATACATGTGTCGCCCTAATCGAACACAACTGTGAACTTGCTATGTATGCGTGGTAGCGAATAGTTAGGCCCAAATTCGCACTACAATTCGTCCGCAAAAACCTTAAATCTTGTCTTTATCCCCATCCATAGAAAGCAGAAAATAGGCCTTTTTTTCAGGAAAACAGTTTTACGTGGGAATGGGGCTGACCTTTGCCTTGCCCTTTACCGGCTTTCAATCAACTAATGCAAGTCGTTCAACCTACAGGCGCGGATTAGTATCCTCATCGTTACTAATTTAAGAGTATTTTAGGAGTCGATGTAACAGGTGTGTGTAAGCACATAAGAACTAAGATGTTTATGATTCATCTACGGTCTCCCTACTTTCGATCATTATTTTTAGCAACAACGTACATTCACATGTGGGCACTTATAGTTTGGCGACCCATTTCATTGGCATTGTTTTGGTTTTTGGAGCACGCCAGTCGATTATTTCCGCAAATTTGATATGCAACCGATAATTTGCCTGTCTGCAATGAATTTGTGGACGTTTATTTTAATTAGTATAGATGCACAATGTTAATGGTGATGTTTTTGTTGTTGTTCTAGGTAATGTGAAGTGCTGGGCGCGACCGCTCCTTTAACATCCATCCCGGCCCGGTCGAGATCGTCATGTCGACAGCCATGCGATCGACTCTTCAGACCGTTCCTGAAAGCTTGGAGGTAAGCCAATGGCCAATTAGGTACCAACTTGGAGCGCGCTTACCTCTCTAATACAAACTTTTCAAGCAATATTGAGCAACATTATCAAACTGGAACCAATTAGATCTTCCGCTTTGGTTCCTTCTGGGTTCCATTTTAACGGCATTGTCAATTAGTGTGGCCTATTCAGGCATCTAATGAATGAAGGCCGCGCTGTGAAATTTGCTAATTCAGTTAGCGGGGCCGTTTTGAGCATTGTTTTTTTCTGTTTCAGGTCACAAAGCCAAACACAACCAGCCCCGAATCCACCACTATCGCGTCCACTAAAGTCCCAGCGAAAGCAACCGGCGAGGTTGTTGCTACGAAGACTTCCAGGCCCTACAACTACGCCAGTTCCACCAATAAGGTGAGCGCTTTGTGATTGGGGCCTTTGCGATACCACATCAGTTTATGTGATTGGTTATGGGAATCGTTTGGTGGCAGGTTTTGTGTTGCCAGTTGCCACTGCCGATATGTCGATGTCTAGTTTCTAAGTTGTTTCTTTAGGAAGGATGATTATGCGGAGTGTCCGGAAACTAGACGAACAGCCGAAGAACTAAGGCTAAATCGTCTTAATAGATTTGATACTCTGTGGGTCTAGTTTCCGGACGTCCTGTATTAATCACCCGGGCGATGATGGTTCGCTTCAATCTCCTGCCGTACGTCCATCCATGGTTTCCGCAGATTCGATTCCTGGACTGAATAATAGATCAAACCTATCGGATATCGATCAACTTGTTTACCTGGAACTTGGACATTACTTGTACTAAACCAGCTAAAAATAGAACAAAGGGAAAAAAGCGTGGCTCTCGCCTCCATTGCTTTGACTCGGTTTAGCTGGAATGATGAATGCAACTGTTTCCTTGTTAGCGAGTCGTAGTTGGGATTTTAGAGTCTAGACCATCCACATGCCGCTGGTTTCCGTCAGCAATTCGTTGTTGTTGACGCATTTAATCCCTTTTTGTCGTTAGGCTTTGGAACTAATTCCGGTACATGTAATACATAATGGACGGTCTTCAATTATGGACGACCGTCGTTCACCTAAAATAAGTTATGAATGCGTCAATGTCCAGTATTGATTGGGATTACGGATTATTTTCGGAGTTTCTATTGTTTTTCCGATGTAAATAGTTGATTAGTAGTTTACTGAGTTTATTAATAACTGAGTTATGTTTAGTCGTAAATGCGACTGTTCGAAGTCGCTCGTGTTATTGCACTGGCAGAAAGGTATGTCTATTTGCTCAGTGATAAGTGGTAAGAAGGTCGAGTTTTTCGTAAATTATTCTCGCAGCAATAACTGCACTTTTTGTTCTATTTGTTCTTGATGACGGCGGGAAATATGGTCGGTTTTTGCTTTCTCAACCAAGCCCACTTTTTAAATTAAACATAAGATAATGTATATATTTGGACTAAACAATCGCATTTGATAGTCATTCGATTCCGAGTTATTTATAGGATTATTGTAGCTTTTATATTTAGAATGTCAACCCCAAGTTAATGGTACGGAAATAATTCACGTGGATGTTGTTCGATGTAATCTAAAATGTATGAATGATGACCTTCGGAAATATACACTAATGTCGCAGGAAGAAGTAGTATCGAGTTTTTTCGTTTAATTCGTTTCTTTTGTTCTTAGCCTGCCCTGTATGGAGTAAACGCTGTTCCTTTCGGAACATTATAGTGGCGCATTCACCATAATGTCCTGGTGCCATAATAAAAAAACTTTTTTGGTATTTGAAAGTAACACTGGCGTGGCTTATGTTGTGGAAACCGCAACACCAATCAGCGCCTGTTCCCCCACGGTAATTAACTGAAATATTGCAAAAAGTGCGCTCACTTTCGGGCAAGGTCTGCGCTATTACACATACCGGCCAACTATGACCTCTATTCGCTAATTAGCGACTAAAGCCTGTACACTTTGCTGATTCTGTTGTGCAAAACTTCCGTTAGAAATGTGTATGGTGCATTCGAGGTTGCTGCTACTACCATATCGGTTACCTTTCAGTTGAGCCACGTCAAAGCCCTTTGTCATTGTCACTGTCATGCCAAACTAATGTACGACGTGCATGACATGGCACGTGATTGGTTGGTCTCTATCGGTCAGCCTACCTGTTAAGGTAAAGCAGATGAGATCATTATCATCATTTTAGGGATAGGGATCTTCAAAGTTCTAATTCACCTGGTTGGCCCAGTTTTATGCGATTTGTATTATTATTTAACAATTTGGTAACAGCCTTCGCACCAGTTGCGATAAGAGTTTCGCCAGCTTAATGTTTTTGGCAATAATTGACGCAAATCAAACAGAACCTTCCTACATGGCACCAGTATTGTTTCAATGTTACCGAATTGTCAAAATTGATTGCGCTGTTAAGACGTTGAGTGTGTGCTAAACGACCACATGGGAGGATTTTTGACTTAGCCAAGTTGATTTATTGTGATGAGCGCGTGATTCTGACGTTTTTTATTTGCCATCTACAGATCAGAGATGAAACTAGTCAGGTCTTCATGGCACCTATATGTATTGATCGCCACTCAGCGGTGGTTTTCCCAGAAATTTCTCTCCCGTTTCAACTTGAAATCCTTGCATTGTTTGCCTAGGGCTTCGCCCCACTTAGCGAGCAGAGCAATGCAGCGGTTATGCTATTTTTCCCCGAAAAAATAATAATTATAACCTCGTCCCTATAGTTCACGGCCGTATCAATTCGCATCCTTTTTCGGCCTCTGTGTTTGGACTTGCCTGTCTACACCTGTTTGCACGTCTTTAGGCAAATACTGATTACATTCAGCCACTGTGAACTTAAAATTAGATTATTTTATTGTTCTTCAACAACAATGCCCCCCCTCTTGGGTCGCCCGTACCTCATTTGTATGCGGTTTTCGCCCCAGCCTCATTCCATCGTTCGTACTGCTGGTAAACTGGTGGTAACCCCATTTCGGTGCGACCTCAATTGGGGTGTTGAGGACTTTTTGGCTGCTGTTTATGTACCCGGCTGGTGGAAAGGAGGCTGTGAACCGTCATTTTGCGTCGTTTGTTTTGCGCGCGTTTCGGCAAGTTGGAAATCGGTTGCTGCAGGCACGAAGCAGTCGCGTTGGCTTTGCCGCAGGAGTGCGGCGTCGATCCAGTTTTACTCCTCCAACCCTCCCGAGAAACTAGTTTGTGTTCGGCCGGTTCGGATGCGGACGTTCTTCGGATCGGTGCTGGTTTTTTAGGAGCTCAGTGTTGTGGTGAAGAGTTTTTCACGCTCAATTTGCCATTTTCGTAAGAGCTTAGAGTTGATGGTGCGCTAAGTTTAAGGCTAAATTAGAGTTAATGTTGGATTTGCTGGTTTTTTTCTCCTAGTTTTCAATGTCCGTGTATTTTAGTCATCAGCTAAAATGCGCCCTGTTTTGGCATCCCATTCTCTTTCGGGATTTGTATTTACTTTGACGGAACAACGCCTGGTTTTAACCAGCGAGGTGAATCCATTCGAGTGCGCCAAAGTAAATATTTTGAAGGTTTTCCGGCTGTAGTACCTAGGCAGGTATTTTTAAACACTGTAAGATTGCTTGGGAAGGAAATATCCCGCTTTCGTACACATACAGTCAGTTCTTCTTGAATTCACTTGCATGCCATCAATACCGTACAGAATGTTTTTAAATGACACGCACTGTATGTATGTACATACGAATTGGACAAAAAGTTGCGTTGGGGTTTGGAGGCTTACGCGTTGAGCACTATCAGTCTAATGAGGCATGACGTTGACCTTTGCTGTTCGCGATAAAAGCTGCCATTGAAGAGAACAAGTTCAGTTGTTTTTCGCCGTCATAAACCTGTTTTGCTGCAAAAGTGAGTCCATTGAAGCCCATCCAGCAAAATAAATAAACAAAAGCATATCATGTTGTTTCTAGCTGTTGATGTTGATGCATATTCACCACGCAGCTGTTTAATGACTCATTTGTCGACTGGTTGAGCATTTTTATGGCGATTTTTTACAGTCGATCAATAGTGCATGATTGTAATGCAACTTTGACCTTCACATTATGCTTAGAAAATGCACTTCTTCCATGGCCTGTAGAATGTAAGAACAAGTGTGTTATCGTGCAACATCCCCGAAACTTTTCTTCTCGTCGCACTTTTGATCATGTTTGGGAACTGCCCTTGCGAGCAAATTAAGGACAGGACAATCGCATTGGACGATGCACGTTGCGTATTGTTGAAAAACACAACAATGGAACCGCAAACCGTTAGAAACTCGCATCAAAATAGTGATTTTTAGTAATCCGCACATGGGAATTAGTAGTGCATGATATTCTATATAGCCGACCCAGTTGAAACCTACACTTAATTAGTCGTTTTATGCGATCAATTTTACTGTTTGGCCATTCAGAAGTGGCTTATTATGGCGGTTTCGCGGCTTAAGCAAGATATTATGAAATATGCCGATTACATGGAATGTTATGTACATTTCATTTGGATTACTTTAACTGGGCTTCGTTCTAACGATCAACGTTGTTAGAAATTGACGTAGAATAGTTCTGCGGTCTGGAAAACCGGCGGGTTTTAATATGATTTCAATAATATTTACTCTAATCCAAGAATATATATTCTTCATCTGTTTTTATGACATTCATACAGGATGGACCAACGTCTGTTTACGCTCGCGTCGGAAAATCACGGGCAAATCCAACATTTAACTGTTTTTAGTCAACGTAGTCGCTCACTTTGCGCACCTCATTCTAAGCCTGTATGCGTTTAATAGGCATTTGATCCAGTGCGAAGTTAAGGCGGCCTTAAATTCAATGATAAACGAGGTTTTACGGCACTTTAAATGATGTTTGAGGCTTCCACGCTGGGAAGTTGTAAGTTGGACGCGGCGGTGGCGCTGAAACAAGTCAGCACTATTAAGCCACAGTACAGCGTTAAAGAGCAGGTGGGTTGTTGGACACTGAACTGGATAATGCGGGAAATTCACCTGCTTTTTCCAGTTTACTCCACTCAAGCCGCACTTTACGTAGAAATATGTTTCCGTTTCATATCAGTGCATCAAGGAATTTGAAGGCAACATTGACCTTCCATCACCTAAGTCGAAGCGCGATAATCTAATGGGTTTTTGATACCCTTTCCAACCTCATAAACTGCTGATGGTAAACAATGCTTGGAGCATATCGGACCGTTCTCCTCGGAATTTCGATATTAAATTTATGCCTGGAAACATCTTTCTTCGCTCGCATCGCTTACAACCTCCTGGTCACGGGACCAATCATTGTTGTTTCCTGCAGCCGATTAACATAAAAAACCAGATGATGCGTCTGTTGCGTCGCTCCAAGTCAACGGCGGCGGCACAGAGCGAAAAACCACCAATCAAAACGCCCCAAGGGCAACACCATCACTATCACCATAATCACGTGGTGCATCCGCAGCACAATCGAAATAGTGGCGGCCTTGTGGTCAACATGGTAGATGGCGTGCCTGTGGTGGTTGGACCAGGAATTGGAAAAAACAAAAAGGTAGCTCATAGATCAGAATTATCCACCCGTGTATTTTGAATCTCATATTTCGAATGAGTTTTAACTTTTCGCCGTGCCCCTGTAGCCGCACCTGCCTAGTCGAACAGTCTTCACTAGTTTTGGTCGCAATATGTGAGAGGGAGCAACATATAGGGTCGTCATGGATACGCAGCTCTCCTTGTCATTCCGGCTGGAAATACAAGGGCAGTTTAATTAATTACTAGCAGCTTAGAGTTTTTTGAGAATTTGAACAGATTTAACACATTCGGAATAATGTCATTAGCTCCCCATTGCAGGAGCTAAATTTGGAGGATCGATAGCGTAAAATGTTGCAAGTGTTTTTCCACTGCAGCATTTCTCTGAATCCTTCCTGCACACCTTTCCACTGCTCAAACAATGCAGTTAGCAAGTTTTCTGTGTAAGTTACCGGATTATTTGCCGTTCCGCATTTGGAACGATTCGACCTTTGGGGCGGGGAAACTGAACGTAATAATCTGGAAATCGGCTCGGCAAACTCTAATAAATCGGGCAGCTTTATCGCGCAGCACTGTAAAGTTCAAAGGGCACCAGTTTGCTGTCCACGTTCCTGCTCGTCTATCGTTGTGCAAGCGAAAAAACTAATTGAATTTTGCTCACGGGAGGAGCAATCAAGCCGTCTGCGCTAAATTGAAAACGGCAATTTCCCCAGTAAACTTCGTTTTGGTTTCCATGATGATCGGGCCCCCAACATCGGCCGGATGTGTTTCTATGTTTGAAGAAATGAAGGCGATTTAATTTTTATTTATCCTTGATCTGTGTTGTTTTCATTTGGCGGATGTTTCAATTGGAATTGGGCGGATGTTCTGAAACTGTGCAAAGCCGGGCCTGTCTTTTGAAGGAAGAGTACGTGATCGTGCCACGTCGGGTGTGCGTTCGGTTTCCGTCGGAACCCTGATCCGTCGAAAGCAGGACGAGATGCCACCAGGGTCGTACTGAGGTACCCAGGTTTACTAAATGTTTGTGCAACTGCAGTGCTTTAAATATTTCTAGCTTCATTTTAGTCGACGTTCCTTTTCGAGGAACATTTCCATTGTCGCACTATCAATTTCGTTTCGAGTTGGAAACATTTAAATTAAATTGCCCCAGTATCGGGTCGGTTCGCATTCGACAGGTAGCTTCCTTTAGCATATTGACTATAAATAGGCGTCGTATCTCACTGGGTAACTGTCGGGGGAAACTTCATTAAATCGAGCGGAAACGGTTGGAATGGCTTGGAGCTCTCTATTACGCAACCGTCTGAAAACTGATTATATTTCTAGACAGAAAAAAAAAACATCAAAGTTGCAGTGATTTTTTTCCTAAATGCTCTCGTTCGTTTCAGTCACATTATTTGCGCTCATTGGGTATTCGGCTGCTTATTAGGCAACAATGACACATCGCACTGTCTAATTACGCCTATCGACAAACAATGGATGATCTGATCGGAAATTTTAATAATATCCTGTAGATTGACACAAGAAAGTATCCATTAGCGAATTATACATCTGCAGATCCGAGTATGTTAGTTGATGGACTTTTTTTCATTGGTTTGCCGTGCGGATTTTTTAAAATCGTTTAATAACAAAAAGCCGCAAACTAATTGGTGGTTGCCTATCCTTATGAAACAGACACCGCATGCAACATACATTTAAACAATTTAATAATCCGATATCAACCAATTACGACCTTGCGACGTAACAGAACCTTATATGACGCAACTTGGCAACACATGCATTACCATTACCGAACCTTCTACAATAATAATCATTAGCAATTTTTCCGTTTTAATTGTTTTCGTTTCGAACCGATGTTGGTTCTGGCGAGCATAATGGCATTTCATTGATATTTGCACTGGCTCGTTATCTACGATGACTATTTAACAACCCGTGATTACTCTTTCATTCGGGGGATTAGAAGTTGACAGTGACTTTCAATGAAAAGTCATCGTCAGTCATTGTCAATGGCGGGTTGAGGAGCTTGTTTACTATTCACTTGAGGGGGACAATAATGTCACCTTTATTGAGGGCACGGTCTTTCTACATTCGATGATGTGCATTCAGGTTCTCATTTTCGTTTTTTTGTTTGAGGTTTTGCCAAATCAAGTAACCTATTTTTTCATAGGAATCTCAGTTGTCGAAATAAAATATTGAAAAGTTGCAAGATTCTCTACTATTCAAAAAAATACATTCAAACATTGGCGGGCGTACATGTGGCCGATCATTTTCGATCACGACAAGCTTAAATGATGTTTAAAATATTTGGCACAGTAATTAATGCGTTTTTTGCGTACATTTCGCCATCTGGGCACGGATGTCTAACGTGGCACTAGAGAACTGTAAAAGTTGAAATTCTCCCAATTTTTGTTTGGTACCCCGTAGCAATATTGGGCCCTACAGTGTATCACTGACAGTGTTTGTCGCTGTGCTTGGAAGGGAGAGCCCTAGACGCGTTGTCATGGAAACATGGGTGTCCTTGTTTCTCCCGCTAACTATACGAGGTGCATTGTAGAATTAATTTTGAGTAATTGACTCAATGGCCATTGGCTGTTGATAGTTTGAGATGAAAATTGTGAAAAGAGGAATTTGTCTAGTGTTATGCATTGACCTTAGCGGTACACCACTGCCAGGTGTTGCAGTAAAGATAAAACCTCGATTTATGAGACCGCGGAGATAATAAGGCAGGAATTAGAAAAGCAATGGTAAGCGCACAGCCTTGAGACCGCTTAATATGTCATGCAATTAGCATTGGTATCTTTTTTCGATAGCGCGGCAGTCGCCATTCGTAGATCGGTCGATTGTTTTGATAACATGATTTTTCTAATCGGAGGGAATCGCGCAAACTCAATCCTGCTGATAAAACAGGTGACCCACCTTCTTGAGTGGATTTTGTGCTCCCCATTGCTGGCCCAGTATCAGTGTCAAAATCCACTTTGACGTTAATCGCGAACTTCATTATTAACAGTTTGCCAGCTAATTAAGTCGACAGGAAATATCGACGTTGATACAATAGAAAAGCCGCAATGACTTTAATAATAGCAGTGTTCATACCAGCATCAGGTAAATGAGTTTTCAGCGAATCCAGATAGTCGCTTACGTGTTATACGTAGATAAAAACGTGCTGTGATAATGTATAGTCCTGTTCAGTTGTCTGTTTGTTGAAATGTGTTTGTATCGTCGCCTTCCTGATGAGACGCGAGCTTGAACTGTCCAGCTTCAGCTTTTCTTGAATTGTTAGCAGCGGGTTCAGTTGTGGTCCGACTTGCGCCACCTTGTAACCAGATCAGTATTTTTGCCTCAACAGAACTAAATAATGAGCCACGAGCAGGGCGCTTCTGAGCAGCAGCAGCAGCAGCAGCAGCACCAGAAAGGCAAGCCGAGTGAGAAAGACCGCTGGACCAGTTTTAATCCGCACGACATCGGCATCAAGATGCTCAAAGACCGACGTGACAAGATCACGAACGGTGGCAAATACAGTGACCGCTACAGAGACACTTTTAATCACGAAGTGAAAGACGAAAAGTACCCATTGAGTGTGAAGTGCCGTGAAACGTTGGATCATCACCGGAATTTGCCGAAAAGTGGTGAAAAATCGGACAGTTCTTCGTCCAGTTCCCGACACAGTCCGAGTTTGACCACTGAGATGATGGGCACACCCAAGGCGATGCCCAGCAACGCCACCAATGACCTCAACAAACAGGAAAATGCCCTGATTGGCTATAAAGCCGTGCCCGATCGTGGGGTCAAATTCCCCTTGTTAACTCCCCATAACACCAGCCCCTCCTCCGGCCATAGGCAACTGAAATGGCCTAGTAGGCGCAACAAGGACGTCAACATCTACAGCATCACTCCATCTAGTGACAGCAGTGCCACTGGCAGCGCTCCATATGGATACCAGCCTCAGAAAGTGGCCTTGAACTTGATCCTCGATGAACCCGTTGCGAACGGATCCAACGACAACACGCTGAGCCATCTGGAGAATGTGGAAACCATAATTTCCAAGCTGAACGAAAAAGAGAAGCAGGAGGACAATTTGCGGAAGTTCGACGAGCTGGTGAAGAAAGTGATCAAGCAGCCGGCGCCAGCGCCTCCTTCGCGCAAAGCGCCACCAAGAAAGGTGCCCCAAGTGGACCAATCGCAGGACATTCTGCGGCCGCCGAAGAGCCTGCTCAATCCGATGAAGCCCTCCAAAGAGATCGAGGATCTGCAGGCGCGCGGCTTTAGCGATGTGGAAACCGACGATAATGATGAGGCGCATTTCAAGCGACATGTTAAAGAGCGGAAAAGCATGGACCATCAGAGCACCGCAAAGGAGCGCAGTGCGGAGGAGCGAAAGAACACTTCACTCAACAGGACGGCCAGTGATGTGCAGGACAAAAATGTGGTCACGTTGAAGCGAAAGCCCCGACTGTCTAGGGACCGGAACAAGGTAATGAATGCGCTCTAACATTTCTTATTTGCCATCTACAATGCCGGGATTGATTGGAAGCGGCCGGAAATTTCTCCAAATTTCTGCATGTTCAAAATTTGGCGATCTAAGGACTTCTTAGACGCCTGTCAATGACAACTCAGATGGTGGGTTTTTTGTGTCGTTTTAGTTGTTATTCAAAAAGTTTGACAAAGCGTGCCACGCCCTCGTTTTTAAGGGGGAACGCAACTCTTAACTTCAACCCTCAATATACAGAGTGTTTGATAGAAGTTTGGGCTAAACTCTCAGTTTCCCCGTTTACTACCCGAATGTTTTTCAAATATTTCCACGATTTGAAGCTGCTGTACGTTTCATTCATATCAAATTCTAGGTTTTTATACAGGATTTGCAATGATATCTCTATCTCGCTCGGCTATCACACGGTGAATTAATAATGACTAATCGGTGTTTGAATTGTTTAGATAAGACATTAACGACTTTGGTGTGCGAAATGATTGGAAAGCGTTCATCGATGGCTACTTGCGTGCATTGATAATATTTTGTATTTTGATTTAAAAATCCGTGTAGCAAGTGGGTGGGACGTGCAGCCCAATCGGCTCATAACCAGGTCATATAGATTTTCTTTCTGTTACCGTTGGTTGTTTACGCGTTAAGCAAACATGAAATGCCATTGTTTCGAACAGAAATCTATTGTTTAAAGCTGACAATGCCAAGTGGGAAATCAGGGAAATATTGCGAAGCTAATCAGGACATGCTAATGGCCGATATAAGTCTGCCAATTAAGGCTAGTAACGAGTCAAATCGGCTCAAACAATCCACTTGGAAGAAGGTGGAATATTGTGTATTCTGCGGTCTGAAAAACACTTTCAGACAAGCTGTTGCTGTAGAACCCGCAATTGTATTAGAACGCTTTTGCCTCGGAACGGCTAAAACGTCCCAAATCCAATTACTTTATCCAGAAATCGGATTAGCATTTTCCCGACATTAGTTGGGGGAAGGTTGTGGGGCATTTGTTTTCCTGGAATTCGCTGTAAATTCCCCACGGATCACCAGGATCGATAGATATTAAAATGCCGGATATGTTTAATGTTACAAATGCAATGTTTCCTGCCGTAAGCCCAACGAAACTTCTAAGTTGAAATGGTTAGTTTTAGGAGGTTTATGTGATTCCAGCTTTTGGTTTCCGAATAAATGACAGCAGTTGATTTTCCTTGACCCTTTCCCAAATTACTCAATTTGGTTATTTCTGGCAAATCTGAACTAAATCTGGCATGTTTGCCACCAGTGAACCGTTTTTGAATAAGAATCCCGCTTGTTTTGACAAGCCCTGATAATAATAGAATTATAATACTTGATTGTGCTTATCTTATCGCGCAGTACATTGGTGCTTAGGCAAATATGCGAGTAATGAAAACGACACTCAAAGGCATATCTTCTGTTGCAAATTCTCACATTGATAAAAACAAAGGCGATTTGCAATGCTGCAAATCCATGCACGAGCGTATAGATAGTTTTACGCAGGAAGTACCAGCTTTTTTAGAACGCGTTCCAATTTTAAGGCATCCTGCTGCATAAGAAGCAGAGACAGATACAGGGAGTTTAATTGAATAAAAATGAGATAGGGCGGACTTAGTCAATTCGTAATGTTATTTTCATCATAAATATGTTGTTTCAGAGCAATGACAACTCAGAATCGGGCGGTGGGCGCAGCAATTCCACAACATCGGCTAGTGGTCGAAATCGGCCGCGATTGGGCGAAGAAGTCACCATCGGCAAGTACAAGCTGCTTAAAACCATCGGAAAGGGCAACTTTGCCAAGGTGAAATTGGCCAAACATGTTCCTACCGGCAAAGAAGTGGCCATCAAGATCATCGACAAGACCCAGCTAACACCCGGATCCTTGCAGAAACTCTTCCGAGAGGTGAGCGCTTTAGAGCTTGAAGAGTTTAATTTACTATTGCGGCGCAATTCAGCAACTTTAACTTAACCGGTTTCAATCAAAACTTGAGGAATTTTCCGTCGGTTGCTGACGATAAGTGCCGCCAAGTGACAAACAGATAAATCATGATTCTTAATCGGATGTAATAGCGCAAATTGTTTGCAACCGGGCCGAATAACAATCATTGAATGATGATATATGCACGCTTTCAAATTAAATAAACAAATAGCGCCGCTGTCGGACAACATTTGTTCAATTCGTGTGTCATGGAAAGATTATTCGCATTAAATTACTGAATTTATGCTTGTTTCAGGTGAGGATAATGAAAATGCTGGACCATCCTAATATAGTGAAGTTGTTCCAAGTCATTGAGACCGAGAAAACCTTGTACCTGGTGATGGAATATGCCTCTGGTGGCGAAGTGTTCGACTATCTAGTGCTTCATGGTCGAATGAAGGAAAAAGAAGCTCGGGCCAAATTCCGGCAGATCGTTTCGGCTGTGCAGTACTGTCACCAAAAGAGAATTATTCATAGGTAAGGCGACATATTCCGAACCGGTTGCCACACGCCGCCCCATCATTAATCCATTCATTGAACTTTATGCAAATCGGTCCATAGTAGCAGAAAAAAAATGTGCTCATTTGCATTCTGATTAAGTAATTCAGCAATTGGTATAGTCGAGGCGGGGAAACAATCAATGCCAGTGGGGTCTTGATGAAGGCTGGCGAATTTGCGCCCCCGTCTATGTAAATCTGCCTAAAGCAGTTCATTGGCGATGGCGACATTGAACAGATTTGCATAGATATAAGTAGGCGACTAGGACTAGGACTAGGACGTTGTCACCTTAGCAGGAAGTGGTTGCAAATCGCCTTGCTGCACGCATTTTTTCCTTATTTCAGAGACTTAAAGGCTGAAAACTTGTTGCTAGACAGTGAAATGAACATAAAAATTGCCGATTTCGGGTTTTCAAACGAATTCACGCCGGGCAACAAGTTAGACACATTTTGCGGCAGTCCTCCTTATGCGGCCCCAGAGCTTTTCCAAGTAAGTACTGAGTCGTTTTGATCAATTATGCAATTGGCATAAAGCGGGTTGGGTCAAAGCAACTCGCAAATTTGGCTATGTTCCATATAAGTATTCAGATCAACGGTTTTTCTAGGGAAAGAAATACGACGGTCCTGAAGTCGATGTGTGGTCCCTTGGGGTGATTCTCTACACGTTAGTGTCGGGTAGTTTGCCCTTCGACGGTTCGACGCTGCGCGAATTAAGGGAGCGCGTGCTGCGCGGCAAGTACCGCATTCCATTCTACATGAGTACCGACTGCGAGAATCTGCTCAAGAAATTCCTGGTTCTCAATCCGGCCAAACGTGCCAGTCTGGAAACGATCATGAAGGACAAGTGGATGAACCAGGGGTATGTTGGGTTAGTCTTTTACTTTTCCGCTCATATATCGGTGTCGTACAACTAGACTTGGTTGGTAAGAGTAGATCAGGTGTCTGAATAGGAAACCTGGGGTAGATTTAGTCGTAGAATACAAATGCATGAATGGGAAACATCCGAAATTGTTTAGTATACTAATTTTTGACTTTCAGATAGTGTTTGCGATGTAGATAATGTAGGTGTGAGCGGCCAGGTGCACTGTCAAATGTTCGGCACTACTTTCCAAATGGTGTAGACTCTTTATATATTTACATTTACCGACTACCGTGCTTCCTTCAGGTAATTGCACGTGTCTCACCATTTGCACTAGTGTTAATTTTTGACAGTACAACCAGTTAATGTTGGGCCACACCGTACTAATGCATGCAAGAAGGACTGAAAAATCATAACAAAGTCACTAATTCAACACTAACGAAGCGGATACTTTTCCAGGTACGAAAATGACGAGCTGAAGCCATATGTGGAACCCGAGGCCGATATGAACGACCCGAAACGGATCGAAGTTCTCGTCAGTTTGGGGTTCAATCGGTACGATGTCGAAAACTCGTTGGACACGCAAAAGTACGACGATGCGTTCGCAACGTACCTCCTATTGGGCCGGAAGAGCATAGACGTGAGAGCGTGTGCGAGAGAAACATTTTTGGATTTAATCGTCTTGTGTTTGCTTCCAGCCGGAAAGTGATGGGAGTCGAAGTGGATCGAGTTTGTCGCTTCGGAACATGGCGGGGCAACAGCAATCGGGTGCCGCCCAACCAACAGCACAAAGTCCGTCGCATAGGGGCGTTCATCGGTCAATTTCCGCCACGCATGCGAAACCGAACAGGAGAGCGTCCAGTGGAGGTGAGTCTGCTTATTGGTCTGGCCGTTTAACGCTTTTCCGCCAACGATTTCCTGTAATACTCTGCGCAGCACATTGTGTTGCAATGTATTACAGGATCTTACTTAATTGCAACTGTTTTAAAAACTCAATGGTTTTGATGTCGTTGCTTGCTTCAAATGCAGTCTGGATTTGGATTGGATGAACTGGATGTTTCTGCTAAAATTGCCTGGACATCTTGAATTACCGCGTTATGATGCAATTATGACTAATACTGAACTTTATTTTTTAATAGTATGCTATTATAACTCAGAAGGTCTTGTTTGAGAGGCTTATAACCATCTATGGAATAATAGCCATAACAACTGGGTGCTTACCGGTATTTTATCCAGGACCAATTCAAGATTTATTCAAAAGCAGTTATCCATTGACATGCATAAATATTTGTGTTCAAACAGCTTTGTCCTGCAATTTCATTGCACTCTGCTCTATTACGAGTGCCAAAGTTAAACATTTTTTTTTTGTCTGTTGTCTGCGTCTTTCCGCGAGAGTATTTGATTTGATTGAGTGATAAATGAAAGTGTTATTGAACTTTTCTAGGTATGCGGGGGTTGGCTTTTGGTACTCCCTTACCGCTGGCAGGTAAAACAAGTTTACAAAATTTACGCGTAACTACTACTACTACTACTTCTACTAACCAGTCCAGCTAACAAAACCAAATTTTAAGTTTTGAGGTCGGTTTCTGGTGGGTTTTGTCGCCAAAAACGGTCTCAATTCTTACATGGTTTTGCCGAGTTGTTAGCGAGTTGCTTGAAATTAACATCTCTGCGTGTGAGCGAACATTGCGATGCAGTTGTAATTAATTAGACATGCTTGAGCTTGTTTTGATTTGTGGTTTTTGAGGTGAGAGTATTTTTGGCAGCAATCAGCCATCTAGCGTTGTATGTAGTGCATAGTGTTGTATTTGAAAGACATTGCCTGAAATACTCTCCACTAGAGGTCGCTACACAATATAACTCTCCTAACTGTTGTTTTCTCTTTTGTTTTCCAGGTGGCACCATAGGTAAGTAGCAGTGTGCAAATTGTTTGCTTTTGTTGGAGCAACGCTGGCATAGATTGAATAACGATTGCTGATGGTGTTTGGATACTTTATAGGAGAAACGTTGAGGGCGGGGCCGCAGCCTCAGACTCCGACAGCACAAAGCAATAATCACCAGAGCGGCTTCAAGAGGCAAAACACGGTGGACAGCGCCACCATTAAAGAGAATAGCGCTCGGTTGAACTCCAGGCCGGCCAGCGCCCAACCAAAGACCATTACGGAAAACAGTAAGTGTTGATGGTACCTGCAACGGCTTTCCAAAAGGTCTTTGCTTATTGAAGAGCTTCAATCAGTTCCATTCGCGAGTTCAAAGGACCAAGTAAAATTAGACGCTTATTTTGATTAGATGCCATTGTGACTTATTTTGTTTAGTTCTACTCAGCTTTTGCAAGCCTTTAAACAGATAGAAACATATTGAAGTGTCTATGTATTCGCGAGTTTAAAAGTCCAAACGCTCCCTGGTGGCTAGAATTATAACTACAAGTTAACTAGTAATTTGACTTTTGTTTGGGTGACATTTGGTGTCACACTGGTGTTTACATCTGATTGTGATTTGTTTTGTTCTAATCAACGTTTGCAAGCTTTTCATTTTCGTTTTTTTATCCAATTCATTCATTCACATTTATTTTTGTTACAATTGCAACTCACGTTTTTCTTGTTTACCAACTCCAATATATAGACAAGTCTCAACTGTCACTCGGTAACGAGTAATTTGACGTTTTGCAGCGCCCCCATCGGTAGTTAACTTGCGAATTGTTTTATGTTATAGACTTAAAAGCAAAGGTTAAAATATGAGATGTCAGGAAATTTTCAATGCTTTCTTGATTTTTTCAGTTAACAATTGGCGAGTAATGTTTACGTTTTGTAGCGCCCCCGGTAGTTGAACTCGCGAATTGTAGAACAGTTTCTTCTATTTCATTCTATGTTGTTGTTGTGACATGTCTGTCTTTTGTCAACCTGTCCTCAGTCTTTTCGAGCTTTTTCCAAATTATTCTGCTGGACACTCGAACGACACACAATGTAGTTTGAGTTCTGTTTCGTTCGAATGGCCAGTGCATTGTTTCTTCTAGTCTCACGTTGACTTGAACCTCACACATTTCATTCTTGTTGTTCGTTTTGTTTTGTCGTATTTTCCGTTTCCATGTTTAGTGTTGTAGCACCCGTTTTATTTTTGTTCGTATTAGGAGTACATGCTTCTTCGGCTAGGGCTCGAACTGTATCTAAGAATACGACGTTATCTTTAGGGACCACGGTGGGTCGTAGGTCGACCATCAGCTACGATGGCAAGTCGGATAGCACCGAGAAAACCAACTTGGCGGCTGATCTACCTAGGTGAGTCTTCTATTCTACTTGTTTTATAGAGCGAATTTTAATGTTGGGAACTAATTGGTGACAACATTTATTTTGGTCACTGTTGGGCCACTCAATGCCCATGATTTATCAAGGCACGGTCGTACAGGGTTTTGAGGGTGATGATCACGTACAACCACGGGTATAGAGGAGCTTTAAACATCGGCAACTGGACGTGTTTTGATGTAGAGATTGATTCAAAATCGGCGTCAGTCCTTTTAAAGGGGTACTTGGAATGTTTATCCGAACTGCCCAAATACCCCCAGATAAGAGCTGAAAAAGAGTGACGCCAAAATCATGTTCACGTCAAAGTTTTCGATGTTTTCAACACATGTACATACAAGAGTATTGCCCCCAGTAGCATGCCTTTAACAGAAACGCCTCCCTAGATGTATAAGTAGACTCTATTACTAACCCATGTAGAAGACTGACGGTCTTTTCCTGATCAAGTAGACATATTGATTAGCACCAAAGTAACCATCAGTTGTTCTTTCTATTGCTAACCGCATGCAGCTCCGAACCGAACGGGGACGGCAGCACAACAAGAAGTGGGGCGCCGTCGACGGTCGTCGCTAAGGGCCACGTCAAGTCGGCGTCGGTCAGCAGTAGCGCGCCCCCCGAAACCCCCATTGCCAATGCTAACGATCCCTTACGGTCTAGGTAGGTGTAGGTGCTCGGCATTGGTTGCTTGACTTGGTTATTTGCTGCAATGTGTTTTCGGTTTGGTCATTTTCAGAGCAGAAAGCCCACTTTGTGACTTTGAAAAAAGTGAAAGTTCAAGTTTTGGTTTTGTTTTTGTTGCTTCCGTCACTGGAGGTTTTGAATAATGCTAATGGGCGGATTTTTGTAGTCGAACAAGCGCCTCGCCTGCAGCCACGCGACAGCAGGCCTTCCCTCGCAACACCTCGTCCCGCAGCACTTTCCATTCGGGCCAGACGCGCCCACGGGCGCAGTACGCCCAGGGAGCGCCGGGGGACTCCACACATGCTCGCCAGTCGTTTTTCGCCAAGTTCAGCCTCAAAAGCTTCACGAAACGGTAAGTGAAAGATTGAGGGGGGAATGGGGCGACTTGGTTTATGGCCCGGGCGCGCTCAATAGTGTTTGGGATTGATGCTTGATTGCAACTGCTACCTATTTGCTAGTTTTAGTGTGCTGTCCAGGTACGGGGGCGTTCGCATGATGCAATTCGAACGCAGTTGAAATCGGTTCATCGCGTTTTTAGTAATACCTGGTCAAAGCCTCAATATGGGATCAGACATTTTCTCTTTATGTGGGAATGATATTGAGCACGGTTGGCTCGAACATGGGGCCTAATGTGCGGTTGCCATTGACTTCACCCAAAAAACCGTCACTCAGTTAACTTATCAAATTTTAATTAAATAAATAGTCATGCGGCTCGGATATTTTGACATCTTCAAGACTGTCTGGCTGTTGCATTAAATCCGAATTGAAATGTGGCCGCGTTAATGCTGAACACGAAGGACCGTATTTATAAACGTTGCTCAAGCATGAGTCGAGCCTCAAGTATGATACTTGGCTTCGATTGCGATTTATAAA